CGGTGCAATGAGAAATTGCACTTTAAACCGAACTTTTCGTTAGCCCACAAGCCTATTTGGTGAAAAAATGAAATTTCTTTAGAGACCTTTTTTCTTGCAAATTCAAAGTCTATGGCATTCCTCTCGGTCACACGATTCCAACGCAACCTCCCTTCCCCTCATTGGCCATCGGTGCAATGAGAAATTGCACTTTTAACCGAACTTTTCGTTAGCCCACAAGCCTATTTGGTGAAAAAATGAAATTTCTTTAGAGACCTTTTTTCTTGCCAATTCCAACTCTATGGCGTTCCTCTCGGTCACACGATTCCAACGCAACCTCCCTTCCCCTCATTGGCCATCGGTGCAATGAGAAATTACACTTTTAACCGAACTTTTCGTGAGCCCACAAGCCTATTTGGTGAAAAAAGTGAAATTTCTTTAGAGACCTTTTTTCTTGAAAATTCCTACTCCATGGCGTTCCTCTCGGTCACACGATTCCAACGCAACCTCCCTTCCCCTCATTGGCCATCGGTGCAATGAGAAATTGCACTTTAAACCGAACTTTTCGTTAGCCCACAAGCCTATTTGGTGAAAAAATGAAATTTCTTTAGAGACCTTTTTTCTTGCAAATTCCAACTCTATGGCATTCCTCTCGGTCACACGATTCCAACGCAACCTCCCTTCCCCTCATTGGCCATCGGTGCAATGAGAAATTCCACTTTTAACCGAACTTTTCGTTAGCCCACAAGCCTATTTGGTGAAAAAATGAAATTTCTTTAGAGACCTTTTTTCTTGCCAATTCCAACTCTATGGCGTTCCTCTCGGTCACACGATTCCAACGCAACATCCCTTCCCCTCATTGGCCATCGGTGCAATGAGAAATTACACTTTTAACCGAACTTTTCGTGAACCCACAGGCCTATTTGGTGAAAAAATGAAAATATTTTAGAGATCTTTTTCTTGCAAATTCCAACTCTATGGCGTTCCTCTCGGTCACACGATTCCAACGCAAACTCTCTTCCCCTCATTGGCCATCGGTGCAATGAGATAATGCACTTTAAACCGAACTTTTCGTGAGCCCACAGTGGCTATTTGGTGAAAAAATGAAAATATTTTAGAGAACTTTTACTTGCAAATTCCAAGTCTATGGCGTTCCTCTCGGTCGCACGATTCCAACGCAACCTCCCTTCCCCTCATTTGCCATCGGACCAATGAGATAATGCACTTTTAACCGAACTTTTCGTGAGCCCACAGGCCTATTTGGTGAAAAAATGAAAATATTTTAGAGACCTTTTTCTTGCAAATTCCAACTCTATTGCGTTCCTCTCGGTCACACGATTCCAACGCAACCTCCCTTCCCCTCATTTGCCATCGGACCAATGAGATAATGCACTTTTAACCCAACTTTTCGTTAGCCCACGGGCCTATTTGGTGAAAAAAAATGAAAATATGTTTGTGACCTTTTTCTTGCTAATTCCAACTCTATGGCGTTCCTCTCGGTCACAATATTCCAACACTACCTCCAATCCCCTCATTGGCCATCGGTGCAATGAGATAATGCACTTTTAACCGAACTTTTCGTTAGCCCACAAGCCTATTTGGTGAAAAAATGAAAATATTTTAGAGACCTTTTTCTTGCAAATTCCAACTCTATGGCGTTCCTCTCGGTCACACGATTCCAATCATGAACCCTAAACCCGAAACCCTAAACTCTGAATCCTAAACTCTGAACCCTAAACCCTGAACCCTAAACCCAAGATGAGAAGTATTTATACATAGAGAGAACCTGAAGGATTAGGTTTAGACCCACATGGAGAAGTATAAATACTTCTTATCTTCTCTGTAATCTCCTCGATATAGTGAAACTGGCTCTCTCTAGATCAAGGATGTAACTGTCAAATCTCTTGTACCACTGCCTCAGAGACTGCTTAAGTTCATACAAAGACTTTTTCACTTACAAATATAATCTTCTTTTCCTGGAACCTGAAATCCTTATGGCTAAGTCATGTAAATTTCTTCCTCTAACTCTCAATGTAGGAAAGTTATCTTCAGTACTTTATGTTGCAGACACTACCATTTCCCGAGTGGCATTAGTTGGGTTGACTACTAAGGTAGTTGGGGCTAGTGGTTTGAGATTTGTGCTTCATTCTTTCAGTTTCATCTAACGATGAAAGATTGGCTTAGCACTTAACTAGGTGGAGTAAATGAGGGAGATAAAGAAATCTGCTCCAACAGCTCAAACAGCTTACGGTTTGTTACTTATGTAATCATTGTGGCATGGAAATGGAATGGCAGGTTGGGGTGACGCCCGAAGGGGTAGAAATCCCAAGAAGCCTGGTCGATGAACAGATTGAGGAGAAATTCAAGGCGATGCCTAAAGAGTTGCAGCCATCTTTTGTTTTTGGACCGGGTTCGGGATCCGGTTCGTTTTTGGGCTGGGTTCGGTGTCTAGTCCGTTTTTGGGCCGGGCTCGGGTCCGGTTTGGGTTTTAGGGTTCAGGGTTTAGGGTTTCGCTGACACTGGTATGCAATGGGGATGAAGTGCTCGGTGTGAGATCAAGAGCCTTAGACCGAGGAGGTTGAGGTAGAGTAACGAAACTCGAACAAAAAATGAATGTTCTTGGGTGTTTGGGATAAACAGAATTAAAGCGCAAGTAATAAACTGATGTTGATGCCAACTTTGAGACCCTCATTCTCGAGTTTTTTCCAGAAATAGCACCTTTAAAAAAAATTACAAAACTAGCACTCTCTCAAAAATATTTACAAAACTAACACCCTTTTTTATTGACCGCACCCTCGTGATGCGTTTTACATATAAACCGCATCCCCCAGGTGCGTTTTATATGTAAACCGCACCTGGAGGGTGCGTTCTAATCTGGTGGGCCTAAATCGCACCTTGGCAATGCGTTTTCATGTCTGGCCTACATGAAACGCATGGCCGAGGTGCGGTTTAGGCCTGACCTACCTAAACCGCACCTTAGAGATGCGATTTATTCCTCCAAGAATGAACCGCATCTGTAAGGTACAGTTTAGCCATGTAGATCGCACCTCCCAAGTGCGGTTTACGTGTCAATTATTTTCCGACACCCGACACAGCCATGCAGAGAATTATGCACGTAGGGCTGCATGGCAGACTAAAACCGCACCCTAGAGGTGCGGTTTTCACAATTTTTTCCCCTATATAAGACTTGCCGGAAAACCTCTACTCTTCACACCTCTCATTCTCTCTTTCATTTTTCTGTTGTATATCGATTAACTATTTAGTGTGTTTCATTAAGATTAACTCGTAAGTTTTTTTTGTTACTTTTTATGCCATTAACATTAACTCGTAACTTTATTTTGTGTTACTTTTTATGCCATTAACATTAACTCGTAAGTTTATTTTGTGTTACTTTTTATGCCATTAAAATTAACTCGTAAGTTTATTTTGTGTTACTTTTTATTGTGATTTGTGATTTTTATGATATTAACTAAACTACGGTTTGTTTGTGTGCAGATGGCATTCCGTCAGTTAACGCTAGCGTACGATTGATGTACACTGTATGTCTGTGTTCACACTTGGTTTTTGCACTTCAATATATTTCGCTGAATCAGACCATTGGTTATTATTTTTTTAGATTAAATGAATCTTGGGGCTTGGGTTGGGGAATTAGGGACTGGGGTTCACCCATTAGAGGTTATGGTATAGTATCATGTCTCAAACTTCGGTTAAATCATGCTCTAAATAGTAAACCTCGACGGGCGTACAATGTACGACTGACGTACACTAAATTTTGAACTTGAATTAGTACTCTCAATCTAATATGATGATATGACATAGAATCATAATAAATCAATCTATTACCCTAACCCCTTAACCTTCAATTTTGAATCCCAACCCAAAATCCCAAATTATAAACCTAAACCCTAACCCTAAATCCCTAAATCCTAAATCCTTTGAATTTAAGTAAATTTTGAATGATTTTTTTCCAAATTCATGTGCTTCTTGTTCATAATATCATAAGCAACAATTGATACCGTTTTGACATGAATCGCATGCTCAGAATGACAATTATGAGGTGGGTGCACTAAACATGAGGTGGGTGCAACTGTTAGGGTTGACTGCAAAGTTAACGGAGAGTGACTAAATATGGACCATTTTATTAATTCAAGTGACCAAATTTGATATTTGTTTTTTTCAGTGACTAAACATGACACATTTTAGTAAACCCAGTGACCAAATGTGTCTTTAACCCTATATATATGGTAGCGTTTTCGGTGCACCCACTTTTTTGGGTGCATTCAGTGCACTCGCTTCATAACCGTCATTTTAAACATGCTATTTATGTCAAAATGACGTCAATCATCACTTATGATGTGATAACAATAATGCACATGAATTTGCACAAAAACCATTGAAGATTTATTTTAATTTGAAGGATTTAGAGTTTAGAGATTTAGGACTAGGGTTAGGGTTTACAATTTGGGGTTTATGGATAGAACTCAAAATTGGAGGTCTAGGGCTTAGGGTAATCCGCTAATTAGTTGTTATCATATGTTATATCATCATATTACACTAATTCTACAAATTACATTTCAAAATCTGACTCCTCAAGACTAGTTTTTGAGTTGGGTGTATTGAACGTACTCACTTTTGTGAGTGCACCGAAGTAGTCACCATATATATATATAAAATATTGAAATATAAACACTTTCATATGTCGATATTATGATGCTAAAATATCTCTTTGATGATTTGTTTTGAGATATTAAAAATAACACGTCTTATACCTCAACGTCTCATCCAATAAATCAGTATTTTTTGAAAGTTTTTGGATGAGACGTTGTATAAGGTTGAGTCTTTATAACTACCAACTCCGAATTTGGGCTTTGCATGGAGGATCCGATCCATAATTTCCCCCTTCTTGTTTCCTTCCACTTTCTTTCTTTTCACACCCTACAAGTTATAACCTTTTAGGTTAGTATCGTATTGTATGTTCTGAAAGCGACGAGACCGTGGACATCGGAGCCCGAGCTCGCCAGATGCAGACCAGGCGGCTGTGGACCTACGCGCTCGCGTTCAGCTGCGTGGCCGGGTTCATCGTCATCGTCCTGAACATCTCAGGTCCCCGGCTCTTCTCGACAGTGCGGCGCCACCCGGCGCGGCCGAAGACCGTGGACATCGGAGCCCGAGCTTGCCAGATGCAGACCAGGCGGCTGTGGACCTATGCGCTCGCGTTCAGCTGCGTGGCCGGGTTCATCGTCATCGTCCTGAACATCTCAGGTCCCCGGCTCTTCTCGACGGCGCGGCGCCACCCGGCGCGGCCGAAGACCGTGGACATCGGAGCCCGAGCTCGCCAGATGCAGACCAGGCGGCTGTGGACCTACGCGCTCGTGTTCAGCTGCGTGGCCGGGTTCATCGTCATCGTCCTGAACAATTTCCAGGACCAAATGGTGTTCTACGTGACTCCGACCGACGCGATGGAGCAGAACAAGGCGAATCCGAGGAAGACGAAGTTCAGATTGGGTGGATTGGTCCTTGAAGACCAATCTAGTTATGCTCTTAACATGCCATTTTGTTAGGAGATACTGACAGGGTAGGATAGATGGCCACATCGCCGAGCCGGATCGGACGGTGGAGGAGGATTGGCGCCGACTTGTGAGAGGAAGAGAGCCGAGTCCATCGGCTGCCCTAATTCCACTATCCAAAGGGGGCCCACAAATTCAAAAAAATGGCTGCCTTTTCTTAGTCTCCTTCTCTCTTCAAATCACTTCGTTAGTTTTCATTCTCTCTCCTCAAAAACTTTTTTGTTTCCTCCTCCCCTTTTCTCCCAATAATCACCAGAACCACTCTCCGACTCTAACGAAGCAGACGACGGCGACTGTGAAAATGACGGCGACGACGGTATCGCGACAAGGAAGAAGTTGTCGGCGACGGTGGCTGTGCTTGAAGGAAGAAGATGACGGTAACCGTGTTCCCCCCCCCCATCTCTCTCTCTCTCTCTCTTCTCTATTTCATTCTTCACCTTGCTTATTGTGATTCAATCGAGTTTCTGAAGATTGTTCTATTTTTCTTTTGATTTTGTTTCTTGGATTCTGATTTTGTGTTTCAAAGAAATAAGTAGTGTTTGAAGTTAGGGTTTCATGGATTCAACTAGATCTGGGTTTTTCTTTTTCTGCGTTTTTTGTATGAGTTTGATGGATTTGTTTTCTGGTAACTTAGATTTGACTGGATTTGGGTTGCTTTCTTTTGTGGATTATGTGGATATGTTTCTGGGTTTGTGGATGTGTTTTCTGGATTATGTGGATATGTTTTCTGGGTTTGTGGATGTGTTTTTTTGGATTATGTGGATATGTTTTCTGGGTTTGTGGATGTGACTGGATCTAGGTCTGGGTAGCTTTGTTTTCTGGGTTTTGTGGATATGTTTTGTGTGCGTTCCGATATTAGTTCTGTTCGGGCAGGATATCAGTTTTTTATTGCCTGGATAGTTGTTTGATATATCTGGATATTTCTACATTGATATTGGTTTTGGTCGACCATGATATCATTTGTGAATTGCCTAGATAGTTGTTTGATATATTTGGATTATGTGGATATGTTTTCTGGGTTTGTCGATGTGACTGGATCTGGGTCTGGGTTGCTTTGTTTGTGGATTTTGTGGATTTGATTGGATCTGGGTTGCTTTGTTTTTTGGATATGTTTTGTGTGCGTTCCGATATTAGTTCTGTTCGGGCAGGATATCAGTTTTTAATTGCCTGGATAGTTGTTTGATATATCTGGATATTCCTACATTGATATTGGTTTTGGTCGACCACGATATCATTTGTGAATTGCCTGGATAGTTGCTTGATATATTTAGATATGACTTGTTTGATATTACTTCTTATGGTTGGGGTATTCGTTATGTGAAGTCCAGCTGCAATGACAAGAACTAAATCAACTGCAATGAGGACCACATCAGAAGGCGAAACCTTTAGGCCTAAATGTGCCAAACAACAACAACAAAATGAGGACCAAGAAATTGAGGATGAAGAAAGTGATGACCAAGACGATGAGGGAAAAGGAAGAAAAGTTTATTTTAGATTTGTGTAGTGTGATATTGGTTTGTAAAACTGAACTTAGGGTTAGATACTATTTAGGGAAGGATGTTGGTTTGTAGCAAGATGGATAATATTTTGTCAAATGTTGGATATAATTACCAACATAAATTATTATTCAAAAATATACCGTAGCCTCCGAGAAAAATATCCGTCTTTATGTAGAATAATATCCTTAAAGCTCAGACTAATACTTTTTGTGTGCCAAAGTATATCCTGAAAGCCCAGACTAATATCCTCGATCTCTTTGCCTCTTCACGATTCATCGGTTTGTTTTTCACTTTAGTCATCAATTAAACACATTTAATCAATTACCCACATTTAGTAATCAATTAAACACATTTAATCCCTGTGAGGTCAAGATATTATCGAGACGGGAAAAAATCCAAAAGATGATCGACATTTTGAAACAGCAATCCCACACTTGAACAAAGAATTTTCTTAAGTACTATTTTTTGTTTGGAAAGTTATAATCGCCATGTCGGAATGACTTTGACTACTAATTGTATCGAGTGTTCTCACTAGTTTTGCGTACTAGAAAACCATAGCAGACCAATATCCGTACACATTAAAAACAATATCCACACCACCCATACCAATATTCGTTCCTCACATAATAAATATCCTCACCCACACAAACTAATATCCATCGCTCAAAGACTAATTTCTAACTGTCTTAGACTAATATCCGACTACACAGCCAACATATCCACACATCTCATACTAATATCCTCCAATCACATAATAATATCTTATCACCACAGACAAAAATCGAACCACCCTACATTGTGTTCAAAACCATTTCCACATTATTGTCTTCTAAACCTGAAACTAAAACTCGAACCCTGTACCTGAAACCCTAACCCTTAACACTAACACAAAGCTTGAACCCTAAACTCTAAACCTCAACCCCCAACCCTGAACCCTAAACCCCAACCCCCTAAACCCCAAATGCGAATCCTAAACCCTAAACTCCAAACTCTAAATTGTAAACCCTAATTCTAAATCCTAAACCCTTACACCAAACCCTAAATTGATATAAGCATATACAACAAAGATCCAAACCACCCAGACTATTATCGGACCGTAGCAGACTAATACCCACCACACACAGATTAATATCTTACCACCGAAAACTAATACCCACTACATACAGATTCATATCTGAACATCACAAACTAATACCAATTACACATAAACTCCAAACCTTAATCGCTAATTAAACTAAATTTCAATACAAACATAGGTAAACATTCACACAAAACAAATCCAAACCACCCAAAATAATATCCGTTCACCATAACAAATATCCACAACACCCGGACTAATATCCCAACGCCTAAGACAAATATACATTCAGGTCGTAAATAATATCCTAACTATAAAGACTAATACCCACCACACACAGACTAATATCTGACCATCGCAGACTAATACCCGCCACACATAGATTAATATCTGACAATCCCAAACTAATACCAAAAGTAATTAAATTGGCTAATGAACTAATATCAACAGACTAATATCAGTTAATGAGAAAACAAATATCCAAACATCCCAGACAAATAGTTGAAAACATGAACTAATATCAATTCAAACCAAAGCTAATATCCGAACCACCTAAACTAATACACATTCTTTGCAAAAACAAGTACAAACACCACCCAGTTTAATATCCGACTACCAGACTAATCACTAAATCATAAACCCTAAACATTCACTCTCCTACTATTATTGTTTCATAGGCCTTCGGCCCATGGGCCCTTGGCGGGCAGCCCTAACTAAGGTTGCAAGCCTTATGTGTTAGGACTTGATAGTGTGTTTAGTTTTGATGGAAGACACAATATTCATTACTTCACAAACTCATATCCACTGCATATAATATCAATTCATGCAAAAATAAAAATCCATACTGCCCAGACTAATATCTTACCACATAATATCTTACCAAAAAAATAAAAATTTCCCCACTTTTTCGTCACTTCTCTCTTCTTTGCAATTACTTTTCCCTTTTTTTCTTTTCATTTTCTGTCACTTCCCTCCTCTCTCCAATTATTTCTCATTTTTCTTTATATTTTTTGTCACTTCTCTCCTCTTTCCAATTAATTCTCTTTTTCTCTACTTTTTTCTTGGTGGACCCGCAGAAGCCACTTTATGAGCTTCTTTCCCCATTTTAATCATTTGTTGGGCCCCTTTGTTCCCTTTCTCCCGCCCAAAACATTGGCTTCTACCAAGCCAAATAATACGCCCCTGGGGGGTGTATGTTTATCAAAGTCACGCAGCAACGACTCAATCGAAGAATCGATTGAGCTCGAATCAAGAACGAAGTGCTCTTAATACGAACTTGGGATAAAACGGAACCAACGGACAATTCCACACTTGGGGAACGCTCGATTGGTATAAAAGGTAGATGCCCGACCACGATCGAAGTGACTATTCAATCGATACAAGAGCTCACGAGCTTGGAATCCACCAAACTCAACACAAGTCGCAACTTGCACAAAACCAAAACGTTCTCAATTCGATTAATCAAAGTCTTCGTTTTACAACGAAATAGAAAGCTTAAATAGGTCTAGCTAGGGTTACACACGTCCCATAAACTCCTAATTATAGTCTAATATGAAAAGGAATAAAAAACTACCAAAACAATGAAATCCTAACTAAACAAGAAAAGGAAAATCTGCCTTTAACTCCAAGTAACCAAACAGCTTTGATGCCATCTTTGAGCCTCTCGATCAAAGGCTTCCAAGTTGATTCGAACTCAACCAATTCCTTTCCTCTGTAGAAGAAACCTTTCTCTTTCATCTCCAACTTGAATCAGCCCGAGATCATGCTCCAATCTCCAGATATAGACCTTCAAAGTTGGTATCTCAACACAGTTTTCTGCCTTAGCCATTTTCTGGCAGTTTTCCAGTTTTGAGGTAGCAACTTTGAGACCTTGGTAAACAACCTTAAAGACATCATCTGAATTCACAAAGCATACCATTGAAAACATGGTAACTTTATCTGTAAAACAAATTCTTAAACTTGAATTTCCACCAAGCCAATTGAGAGAACCATGCCTCCAAAGTATGTATCCTGAACACGGATTTTGACTTAGCCAAATTCTGCCCTTCTTCTTCCCAACTTTGATAGCTTCTTTGTCAACTAATCGTGACATGAATAGTTGGCCAATTTGGATCATATCACCAAACCCATCAGCTCCCCCCTTTACTCGGCTGGGCTAGTCAACCGATCTATTTTGGCTCTCTCTTTAGGGCACCTGTGGCTGTGGGATCAATGAAAACTGCCAATAAATTTTGGTGGGTTGGGGTTTCCTAACTTTGAATTGCAAACCATAGCTTTGAATTGCAAAAATCCACAAAAAGCGTACCAGAAACCTCCCAATCCATATCACAAATCCCCTAAAACAAACCAAAAACCCCACAAAACATACCATAAATATTCCGAAAGCACACCAGAAATCTCATAATACAAACTACAAACACGATAAAGCAAACCACAAACCTCCTAATGCAGACCACAAATATATTAAAACAAACCAGAAACCCCACAAATCAAACCATAAAATTTTCGAAAGCACGCCATAAACTTCTTAATGCAAACCAGAAACACAATAAAGCAAACCAGAAACCTCCGAATGCATACCACAAATCTCCTAAAACAAACCACAAACCTCATAAAGCAAACCACAACATTTGCGAAGCACACTAGAAACCTCCTAATGCAAACCACAAACACAGTAAATCAAACCACAAAAAAGCAAACCATAAACGTCCTAATGCAGACCACAAATATATTAAAACAAACGAGAAACCCCTCAATGCAAACCACAAAATTTTTGAAAGCAAACCAGAAACTTCTCAATGCAAACCACAAACACGATAAAGCAAACCACAAAAGGCATACGAAAATATGAGAAACCAAACCATAAATCTCACAATGTAGACCATACATCCGGTGGTCGTTGACCGGTCAACGAAGTTCGTTGACCGAACTCCGGTGACCGTCAGTGAGCAGATTCCGACGCCGATAGGCATATTCCGGCCCCGATAACTAGATTCCGACGCCGGTAAGTATATTCCAGCGACAAATAGCATATTCTGGCGACAAAAAGCATATTTCGGTGACCGACGACCACTTTCCGGCGACCGGTGGCAGAATTCCGGCGACCAAATTTTAGGATAGGAAATAAATAAAAAATTTATTTTTTTATTTTTTATTATTTAAACAGATTTTTCATAATGACAATTATACCTCTGCTTTGATTTTACACTAGGTCAACTCATCTAATAAAAAGTCATCACAATCCTAGCTTCCTATTAGTTGGAGACTAGTGTTGTTACAATAACAACACAAGATAGTAACCGGTACCTAATAATAATGGCTCACACCTCCACAGCAACCTGCTTGCAACTCTCCAAAATCACAAAAATATTGAATATATATACTTTCAGACTAGCACATGAGTTTAGCCAGTTTTGTTATTTAGACCTATTGTTCAAAAAGTTACAATTAAACTTATGTTTAGACATGTTTAGGTGTTAGAGCAATTCTAAAATATCTTGTCCAGGGGTTTTGTAGCAAGTGAGGAATAAAAAATATGTGAGCTATTGTGCTACAATTCTATGAACTTGTGAGTTAATTTTCTTATTGTTTAAGTGTTAAATAAATTAGAGAACTACTCGAATGCCAGACACTCCTCAGGAGAACTCAAAACAAAACATCCCGCAATCGAAGAAGTAACTAGAGAACATTCTTCTACCAACAGTTTTCTGTTCATGTTCTTTTTCTTCATCATCCAATGTCACATAGAACATGTTTTCCCTACTGTCTGCAGCTTTTCAACAGACAGAAACGACTACTACACTACACTTTATGAGAGACTACAACATTTTGAGAAATGAATAGTGACTGACTACACTCCACGCAAGCTTTTCGTTGCTGCTTCCACTAGACTTCGCCTTTTTACTCCATGGCGCTTTGATTGAGAATGAAATTGATTCATCTTCAATCAAATGCCACACATAAAGGGCAAAGGAAGTAGTAGAAGGAGCAAAAAAAAGCTCAGGGAGAGGATTGTCTCTCGAACAATCCCTCTCTAATACTCTAACCCCCCAAAAGAAGAAGCATCCAAACTCAACAAAAAAGGTTACAACAAAAGCGCAGAGACACCAAACTGTTCAGAGCCTGCCTACTATGCACTACACTACATTGGGATTTCTTGCTGCTGGTTGGTTTTATGCAACCGGGTCTACACCATTATCTCCCAGCCTCTGCAAATGCCTGCGTTGATAGATGGAGGCTTTCCCAGGAGCTATGACATCGAGCGCCGCAAGGATGCACTTATGGTAAGAGAAGTCCTCCATTGTCCCGTCGCTTCTAACCACCGAGAAGCATCGAGACCCTTCGTGCTTCGGGTGGTTTATCACCTGCCAAATCATATGCCCACAACTTAGTAATCATAATTGCCCCGCTGAACATTGGTTCTTGCTTGGAACTTTTAGACACATTACCTTGAAGTACTGAGCTCCGTCTCCAAGCTTCTCGTCTTTTCGAGGGTGGAAGTATAACGCTTGCATCAGTTTGACTTTGTCCCGCTCACCTAGCTCCTCGTCCACAGGAGAGCTGCATCAAGAGGAACAAACTCAGATGGCTTTCTTGAGACCTCTGACCATCCATTTCTGCATTCGAGCTTAAAAAGGATGAACTAACAGAAGCAGATTGTTGAATTCTGAACTTCTACCTATTTAAGAGTTTGCGGAGATCAGAGCTGAGATTCAGAATGTCATCGTACGAGGTATGACTACGCAGGGACTTCGCTATGCTGAATTTTCTGGAGCCCTTGTTGAATCTCAATGGAAGCTCTTTGCCATATTTCTCAAATCTACTGCTCCATGAACCTGGGATCTCAAACTTGGTCGGCCTAGGGGTTTCAGACGTCTTGTTTGCAGCAAGGAACTCGTATGGATTCGCTGGCTTCGACATTTCATATCCCTGATCAAATCAAATAAGACAGTGAGGAAAAGAGAAAGCAGAAATTTGATCAATTGGAAGCACTGTTTGAAGATAGATAGATATTTCTTGCAGCCTACCTTCTGAGAAAACAAGATGTCAAACTTGCCAGTGCCGATAGCAGGCATCTTTCCCCAAGCAAGATCATCCAGTGGACCCATTAGCTTATCAGTGACACCCATCTTAGCAGCCCGAATAAAGTTATCTCCAGGGTTCTGCATCAATTTTTGGGGAAGAAAAAGACCACAATTAAGTTTTTGGCAAAAGTAATGAACATACCATAAAGACTGGAACTTTTTCATATGATGAGGATGACTAACACTAAAGCTGGCTTGCATAAATGGGGTCGAAATCTTTGAGTGCTCCCTCTGTAGTCTCAACCCTTTTCCATTTAGAGCAACAAATTCTCCAGTAACCGACATTGTGTTTGCCAGCAGAAGCAAATGCTGTGGAAGTACAGTCTTGCCAACATCAGCAACTGCAGACTCCAGGTTCTGTGTAGTTTCATACATCATCAGGTCAGCAGTTAATCTCCAGAGAACAATATACAGAGACCGACTTTTTATGATCAATATGACCAACTCACATTGAGAAAAACTTTCCAACCAGCATCCACACCATAAGCAGAAGATAGATCTCTTATGTTGTCGGGATGACTTCTTGTCCAGTCGATCATATCCATTATGGGGAGACAACTGTTCAGAAGTTGGCCCCACAGTTTTGATGTATCTGTTATTCCAGATAAAGCAACTCTCAAGTAGAGCTCGCCGGAAGGAGCTTTACCAGATTTTTGTACTTTTGGCCTATTGTTCCAAAGAATATCCACCTTATCAATCTCAGTGGATCCTAGCCCCATGAAAAGCAAAAAAGAGTAAGTGAAAGCCAATACATATATCTAGCGTAACTGCAGCAAAAAATGTAATTGACTATGTGACTGAAGATCAACAATAAGAAGTCCCGTATAAAAGGTCATTAATGCAAAACAAAAGACAGAGGTTTCAATATTAGAAGCCACCAACCTCTAACAGGTGTTCTGAGAAGAGAAGGAACCACCATATCTTGAATAGTTTCCAACTTGGTGGACAATCTTTTAGAACTGTCAACCACCGTGGCTGTTATGCAAAAAGTTTCTTCCTTTTCCTTCCAGTTATCACCAAAAGAGCAGCAGCCCCTGAAAATTCGATCAAGGAAGAATAAAAACTATCGTAACTTTGAATTTGCACGACATTTTACTATAGCATGGCTCCTACAGATTGCTTAAGACTTGGAAAACAATCATATTCACTTGGACTTTAGATGGTACGCCACCATCCAACAAGTCCTCTTACATTTCAGATTTTTTTGTGGTTGATAACAAGCAGCATACCTGCACTTGAACTCCATTTTGGGAAATTTAGGTGTTGATAAGCACTGGTTGGCAAGGGCGTCTGCTACCGATGCAGCCTGTAGCCCTTTCTTCTTCACGATTTCCTGAACGGGAAAAAAATTAAATATGAAATATCCATGCCTGTGATTTTCAATGGGAAAAATGAATTAAGCATTTAAAAGCTAATACCTTGAGCAAGTGGAAATGGATAACCCAAGGGTTTGAATGGGCTTTGCCATCACCGTGTGGAGTATAGCTTATGCCCAAAATAGTCAAATTAGTTAAGGAAACAGACTAATCTACAGAAAACGTACAAGAAACTGAAAAAGAGAAATTCCGGGATCATACATGATCCTGGCAATGGAAACAGTGTCAGAAAGAAGAACTTTCTGTAACTGGTTCTGAATTTTCAATGCTCCATATTCAAACCCATATCTTCTTCTTCCAAGTTTCGCAGAGAGGAACAATGATGCAGTTCTCTGGGATTTACTCTTCTTGGTACCACATTCTAGTACATTCTGCACAATTTAAACACTCTTGAGGTATCAGAAAAATTCCAAAAAACCGCAGTGTGTACTGTTCAACAACATATTAGAGAGAGAGAGAGAGAGAGAGAGGAGGGGCGGGGCGGACCTTAAGATTTAGCAGAGGAGATTTTTGCAGTAGACTTATGGGTTGATCGAGAGCACTATATGCTGCTTCAGAGATGGCAGAAGCAGTCAATGAACCAACGGGATGGCCTCCAATTGGATCACAATTCATTGTGCTCTTAGAATCTTCCTTTTGACCTGTGTATGAGAATTGTACGAGCTGATTCCCATATGCACTTCTCACTGTGCCATCATATGCAATACAAATATCACGCATGAAGAACATAAGCCTTCGAGTCAAAGTTCCAGGAAGGTCAGCATTATCACTGAATGAGCTTTCTCTGCTTGTCACTGAATGAACAAAGCATTCCAGGGGATTCAGTCCAGTGAGATAACAACCCTCGACCATTGCAGATGGAACAAACCTCTTGGCACACTCATTAACCTCATCGGCTCTAAACCTATTCCAAGCTTCGCATGAAAGCTGACGAGGCATTCTGAAAGACAATGGAACCAAAGAAGATTGCAAGCCAAGAGAGATGCTGTGCTGGGCCAGTTTCAGTAGATTTCCTTTGCTTCCAGCCTTAAACATGGTCAATAATGAGTTTTCCTTGGAGGAATATCTGAAGGCCAAATTTTGAATATCACGAAACACTTGCTTGAAAGCATCAACAGATGCTTGGCTGAGGGAAACAGATCTCTGTCTTTCAAGGAACAAGCACTCTGCATCAAACACACCTCGAATCCCTTCACCAGTAAGGAAGTCCTGAAAAGAGTCAACCATTAACTGCCTTGTGATGCATGTCTTCTCTGCTTCTTTCATCCCATATGTAATCTCATCCATCATGCTTTCACGTGAGTAGGAATCAGGACAGAGGTAAAAGTCAGAGAGTGAAACACTAAGACCTCTCATTGACAGCCATTCACAGAGAACTCTCTGAGCAGCATGCAACAAATCAAGAACATTGCCTGGGCAATACTGAACAAGGCTTTGAAAAAGGTTTGCCTCTGTGTCGCGTAACCATAAAGATCCATCACAAGTAACAATCTCGCCATCGCGTATCGATGCATTATCTGATGGAAAATCATAGTCAAACCCTTTTGGCAAGAGCATGCTAATCAATTGTTTGCCAGTCCAAACACCATCAGAAAGTGGAGAAGATAATTCCTTTGAAGAAAACATCTGCAACTGCTGAATCTGGAACTTGTTGAGAAAGACTCCATCATCCAACACCAAGTGTGCCGCAGTTAAACTATCTTGACCAAGAGAAAGCAGATTTGAACCACTCTGTGCATTAGTCAACTGCTTATCTAAAGCAATAAGCTCGGTGAGCTCAGTCCTTGTGTTCACTGATTGAGGAACATAGCCATGCAAGCAGTCACCATCGAAATCACCCCGAAGTGGGGAACAGCAGAGTGGGTTTATTGCCAGAGCTGACGGCACGGGAAGGATTTTGACAGAGAGGGCAATTAGGGAATGCTGGTGAATGGAAGGAGGCCTATTGATGAGGACCGTGTCTCCATCTTTCAGACGCCGATATATCACGTCATTGATTTTCAGGTCCTTGGTGCGATGAATGCGGACAAGACCACTTGATCTTCTCACATGGATTGAACCCTTCTCAAGAAGGAGTTCTTCGCAACAGATTAACAGCTTTTCCCAGTTGTATGCAGTCAGATGTTCAGAAATTTGCAATCTTTCTGCAACTTCCCGAGGGATCCCAATTTCTCTAAGCTCAAGACTTGGGTCTCCAACAACCACCATTCGGAATGAATGATCATTCCTCTTACCAAGAACAACATCCTTGATCCATCTCAATCCTGAAGAGTTGGTGGTGACATCATCGCTCTTCTTTTGCAGAATGTAAATAGGATCATTCTGTGCTGACCTGTCGGGGTTTATCTGCAAACAAGAATTGCAGTGTTAAGGAAACCATTTAGAAAAAATTTACACTGACACTAACTGAAAAGTTGGGCATTGCAGCTCTCACCTTGGAAGCTCCAAGGCTCTCGAGAACATGAAAACACAATTCATGCGTTTTCCCTCTGAAATCAACCATCTTCTTGTATGCCCTTGTGCGATTATCCTGTGACCATTTGAAGTTGTAGCGCACAGAAAATTATGCAAGCTGATAAATGAATCATTTTATTATGAACAGTGGAAAAGAGAAATAAGAGGAAAAAACAATGCATTCAGCAAGTACTACTTACAAATGTCAGTCTTTGTGCATTGGAAAATGAATGCATTACTTCAGACACACGATGAGAATTCGGAGTTACTGAGAAGTTGGTGAGGAAGAGCAATTCTTTCTCTAAGACATACTTCTCAATGAACTTATGATCAACACCCTCTAACAAATGGCATATCTGTAAGAAATGGAAGTGTACACGAATCAAAATGGGTCAGGAAGATTTGTATCGAAATACAACACTACTAAATAAGAAGTGAAGTATGCACATAACTGGGAGGAAAGGCAAGATTTCCATGACGCCACCATCATAGATGCGGCTAGGGTATCAAACTGCCAAAATTGTGCATGTGGCTTACATGAAAAACCAATAGTTGCTTTCCACATCATCTTAGGATGATGAAAAAAGTTAAGGTATAGTAACAATTACAATATACAGAAAACTAATGAGTACGCATAACCACTTTAAAGTGGCTCAGGAATGGCATAAATTAAAATCCTGAAGCAGAATTCTGAAATCAGCATAAATTTTGACAAACGAAAGTCTTAAGAAGGGATCTAATGGCTCTACTGTCCTATATACCAAAACCAAGTCTTCGTGATATTACACGAATTCAAAATTATGTTTCACACATCATGATTCCATAATACAAGCAGAAGATATTTGAGAAGAACTATAAAAGAGAGGTTCCTAGAAGTTTGTGACCTGGGGAACTCAGAGTCAGCAACATAAAAACTTGGATTGGACATGCACACTTGGAACCCAAAAGCACTAGGAAGAAGGAAAAGCATTTGCATATAATTGAACACATGACCACTACCTGTCCATGAGTCAAAATCCTTTTAGTTGGCTTAATAGCATTTTCATCTTGTTCTTCATCCTTTGGGATAATATCCCAGAAGTCAGGAGCCAAAGGTTTTCTGACCCCTTTCTTTGTTGGTGGTCGTTGTCCAATTTCAACCGTGATTGTTGTTTTCCGCAAGATTTCCCCAGAGTAAATTTTGAATTTCATTCTTGGATACCATCCTATTGACAATGCCTGCCTCTGTCATAATGATAAAAATATAATTTATGACTTTAGAAACTGCATAGCTGACTGTACCACTGTGAGCGGGAAAGGGGAAACATTACTCACCACACAGTACTTGCAGCCCTTGCTCAAATTTTCTTTAGGCCTCGGATCATTTTTCTGTACATGTACAAACCAGCAAATAAATAAACTGATTAACAAAGCAGAGGTAAACAGGAAAGTCCCAATTTTGAAGGCAACATTATTTGTTAATTTGGTACCTCTTCTCGAGGTTTACGAGGGGGAAAAAGTAAAAGTAAATGACAACCATAATGAGACATACAAGCTTATCCTGATAATTCAATAAGAGCACAAAACTAAATTGACTCACTGTCCTTAACAGGATTTCATGGTGATATTAGCATTCCAAAAAAGAATGAATATTCTACATTCCCTGAGCATCATAAAAGGCTGAGAGGTCTAACTACCACGAATGTTAGTTAACTAGCCCAAGCCTGGCAAAAAAACTAAGCATTCTACATATTCAAGCAAAGCAATGAGATGCAATACCTTCACCAGATCTTGCCGGACAGATTTGCAACTCGGACAAATTTTATTCAAAATTTGAACAACTTCGGACATAAAATACGGGTTCAGAATTCTTGTAGGAAATTTCACAGCACCGAAGTGACCTGCAAAATTTTAATATAGCAATATTACGCATCGGCAGAGCAGAAGTTTTTCACAAAATTTAACTAAAAGGCAGTTGTTGAACCTTCACAAAATTTCAAATCTTTAGCACCACATGTGGAGCACTGAGAACTATGATTCGGAAGTCCTAATTTTGAGTCAGTGACCTCACTGGTCGTAGTGATGTCCAGAACTGAAAGTTTTTCCTGTTGCATTTAGAACAAAAGGTTTTGATAACCATTAGCACTTTGTCTACCACATGCAGCTTAATTATGATTAAAAAACTAGATATTTGCTCACCTTTTCATCCTTGGTTGCAATGCCAAATGTTATGCTTCTTAGGACAGCAGAGGGTGGCTGTTGCACCTCAGATGCATCAGCCTCCATTATACTTGAAATTTCCTTCTTATTCAAATAGTCAAGCAGCCTACAAATTAATCAAGTTGCCACATGGAAAGTGAAAAATGTCAAAGCAGTAACAGTAAGTTTCTGTTTCAAGAGATTCCAACTACTTTGAGGTTTGCTACATTGTGATCTAGAAGCAGTCCGGTTTTATCAATAGATGTAGAACTGTTCCTATGCTCTGCTCCATATTTATCAATATGACACCAATCTTGAAAGTTAACATTACCCATAGTTAGACAATCAATACTTCTATAGGGAATTTTAGAGATAAAATCAGCTATCTAGATAAATTTTCCATACTTGACAAGTTATGCAGTAAATTTTGTGCAAATTACTACGCCAAATAAGACATGAAACCAAATTATCTTGACATTGGTTTCACATAGCAGGCAAGTATATACCTAGATATGATTACATTCATCTACACCCACCATTTTCTGATCGATTAATTTGTTATTTTCCTCTACCGACAGTTACAGCTAAATGCTACCAGTGAATCACATCTCGAATCATAAGAATACTGGAATGTGGAATTAAATTATGGAACTTAAATTAAAGACACAAGTATCATCACTTATTTTAAAAAGCATACCAAATTGAGCATTCACTATTTACCAACATAAGGCGGACCAAAATAAAAAATAATCAATCAACTGATTCCGCATACTGACACGTGTGAGTAAATCATGGAAAGACATACAACCCGTACACAACTGATTTTATATTAATATACCAAATAAGCATCCTGCAATGATCCTCTACACCAAAACCGAAGAACGTGATCATATGATGCAAACCAGCATCACAAGTGATCGATCAGATCAGCTGGGAGTAAAAAGTCACCTAACGTGATAATTACTCATTTTCTTTCATATTGCAAAAATAGAGGTAGTATACTGAAACAAACAGAACAAGTTACAGTTCAAAACCATGCAGAGCCTTAACGTGGGTCTTATGGTAGTGATACAGTTACAAAAGATGGCCATAATGTTACAAAGATTATGAAGACCACAATATCATTTCTGAATAACTAGTTGATCAAAAAAGAAGAGACAAGCACATTTGCCTATCTTTCAAGCCATTAAAGTTCAGATCAAACAATAAAGGATTCAAAGAATAGCTAGGTTACCAATCGAATCATGCTCTTCAACTTATACTCAATCTTATGGCTACAATAGTAAGATGAGGAAAAGAAGTGAGAAGCACCAAACCAGGCCCCCATTGATCAAATACTGGAACACTTTTCACAATACTCCAGCTTCTCTGACCGAAAATTACTTTCAGAGTAAAGAAGCATTGATTTAACAGTAATGTAGACCATTCCAGATGAACTTCAAAAGACTTTTCATGTAACAATGAATATGATCTATTAATTACTACTCATCAGAAATCAAAGCCAGAAATATATCACATAGCACGTGAACTAACAAAAAGAACAACAACAAACTCACAAAATCAATCAAAACCCCAAGCCAATCAAGGAAAAATAAGTACATTGCCCCAAAAAAGCCTCAATTTTCACCTTCAACTTCAGAGCATTTTCAGTTACAAAACCTCAAACATGCACATCAACAGACGATCAATTCAGGCACAGCTGCACAATGAAACCATGCACATACAAAACACCAGCAGCATCATCTGATCAACCATACACCGAAACCCACATTAAAGAACCAAAATATAAAAATGGGAAAAGGAAAAATCCCAATGATCAGCCAAACCTAACAGACCACCATGCAGAAAAGACCTAATCTTTCAGCAATAAAAGCCAAAACCCACATCCAAGATACTCACTTTCAACCCGCGGAATGCGAATGTGCGTTTCTTGCGGCCAAAACCGCACGGCCCTGCTCTGGAAAAACAGGGGATGAAGCACAGATAAGCGGCAGAAGAGGGCCATGATAAAAATGAGGTAGAAAATGGAGGAAAACAAGATGGCAGAGGCACAGGGATTCGTAAAGCGAGAAATAGCGGCAAAAATCAAACCTTCTCGACGGAAAACCAATGGACTGCGGGATTTCTCTAACGCCGCCGGTGAGGCGGCTTTCTTTGCCCCTCTCTTTCCCCCTGTCGTTTGGGGTTTTGGGGGAAGGAGGTAAATGATACAAAACAATACGGCCTAAAAGACACTCACTCTCTCCCTCCCTTCTGCGTAGGGATGGCAATGGGTCGGGTTGGGTCGGGTTTTGCCAAACCCAAACCCAAACCCATGGGTTTATTTTTGAAAAAAACCCGGGATAAAACCCACTGGGTTTGAAAAACTCAAACCCAACCCAACCCGTTGGGTATCCGCGGGTTCATGGGTACCCACGGGTTTTGTCGTAAAAAATTTACAATTGCAAGTTCTTATCAAAATTAAAGTCAAATATCAAATCTCTCAATACAAATTATCCATATATAAAACACCATTCTAGAAAATTCAAGCAAATCACAAATTAACTATACAAATTGTTCAACAACAATCTAGAAAACTTAAGAAAATTGAAGCAAATCACAAATTACCCATAAATAACATGTTTAATTGAAGCTTCTTCCTTTCAATTAAGTTTCTTTACTCTCCACTCCATAACATCAACTTCATTCTACGCAATTAAAAAGAAAAAATTAGACATGTCTCCACAAACATAAATAAGATTAGTTGTTTAGAATATTAAATATACCAAAAAAATTAATTATATGAGTGGGCGGGTACCCACGGGCCGGGTTTACCTAAACCCAAACCCAACCCAACCCGGTGAATAGTGAACGGGTTTAAACCCAAACCCGACCCAAAACCCGTCAACATGGATTTTACCCGCGTTGACCGGGTTGGATCGGGTGGGTACCCATGGGTTCGGGTTTTGTTGCCATCCCTACTTCTGCGGTCCCTCCAACTCAACTCCCAAGTCCCAAGAGATAGAGAAAGGGGGAATGGATCAGGTCAGTAATCTTATGGTGAGTAACCATGAGTAAACCGTCCACATCAGCATGACATCAGCATCCTCTCTCTCATGGAAAGCCTTTAATTTTTTCCTCTTTAATCTTTGACGGATGATTTCTCGCTCATTTTAAGTCGAAATTTAATTTTTTTTGCACATTTAGATCAGATTAATTGTGCTCTTCAAAATGATATCCACTTTAATATATTTTTCGAACAAAAAAAATTGAGCCATTTTTTACCAGCCTATACCATATGGTATTGACTGGTATTGAAATAAAAGCATACCTATATTTTGAAAAACGTACCATGGTGGTATGAACAAACCAATACTGTAGGATGGTTGAATACATGATAGTAGAAGTATATTAATTGTAATTTACGACTTTTAACATTGTATACCACACAATACCACCCCGTACCAGGGTGGTATTGTATGGTATTGTGTGGTATTTTTTGGTCCTGTAATTTGTTCACCCAGAAATTTGTAGATCCAATAGATCATGATGAACTCGTCCCTTCTGTGCAAACGTTTTCAAAAACGAATTAAAAACGAAGAAGATACCATACAATACCACCCCGTACCAGGGTGGTATTATATGGTATTGTGTGGTATTTTTTGGTCCTGTAATTTGTTCACCCAGAAATTTGTAGATCCAGTAGATCATGATGAACTCATCCCTGCTGTGCAAACGTTTTCAAAAACGAATTAAAAACGAAGAAGATACCATATGGTATGCAGTTGGTACCGAGAGGCCAGAATTTTTTTTCCTAAAAAAATATTGAAAATTGATCTCATTTTGTAGAGCACGGTGAACTCGTTCCATCTGTGCAAAAAAAATTAAAATCCGAGTTAAAACGAAAAAGATATGAGTCAATTAAGAAAGCTAGTGAAAATAAAAATAGCATTTAATTCTCCATCCTTAGATCTGGATTTTCTAAATGAAGGGTCCAGATTTGGTTATTGATGGATGCATAACCCATGGTTATGCAATATGCACCCTATCTTGAGCCGAGAAAGGGGGAAAGAGAGCGACGAGTTGGAGAGTTGGGGAAAGCAAAGAGCAGACACTGCGCCGGTAGAAAAGGTTTGGCCTTTTCAATGAAAGAGTTAAAAGGGGTTGCGTCCGGTGGGCCAACGTTTCCAACTCAGCTGGCTAACCGGTTGAACTGGCATTCCTAATCCCCTATTTTACTTTTACGTTTTTTTCCTTTTTAATGGAAAAGCAATAATAATTGGGGGGAAAAGAAGGCAAAGTGATTCTCTTTTATCTCTTTCTCTCACTTCTATTGTTTCTACACTCTTTCTCTCTCTTATGTAAGCTGGTCCAGGATCAGCTTTAACCGCCGGTTAAGAGATTCGTGAGTTTAATAAGTTTAAGCTACGCAGGTAGCTATACAGCTGTGCTATTATGCAGTCTGCTCAGTCAGGTTTTGTAATCATGGAAAAAAGATTTGTTGAACTAAACTATCAAATGCGGAATACAATGAAATAACTTTACGTAATTTTCTTCAAAATCTTTTTTGCATTTAACACATTAGTTACGAAGAATAAAGAGTTCAACTTTTGGTTCCAAGAATAGGAAAGAGTCTAAATGCACTCAGTTACAATCACATTATCACACCGTGTTTAACAAATATACAATCAACAAGACAAACACAAAATCAAAGTAGCCACTAAAAAGAGCAAAACCCTTGAACCAAAACTAGACATGAGGAATCTCTCTTACAACCAACCAACCAGAGTGCAACAAGATCAGAATCTGCTTGTCCTGTCATATCAAAATCCATGGCTATTGAGCACAGCAAGCCATGTGTTGCCTCTTATGTATTGCTCAACTACATCCAATACAATTAATCTCATAATGGCGAAGGAGAAGGATATGAAATGGATTGTTCTAAGCTAAAGAGGGAGTCGAGACAGAGAGATCAGGTTCGAAGAAGAGCAGAAGATCCCAAAGGATCCACAAACCTTAATGGAAAACACTGATTCCCAACTGCAGTCACCAGAGAAGTCGCGATCCTCCATGATCTAATGACCAACCAAGCAACACTAACCCACTAGGGATGTCAAAGGGGGGAAAGAGAATGGCTTTGGCAAAGTGATGACACAACCAATCTGGGAAAAACACCATCATCCTTATCTGAATGAGGCGCCCAAACTGCTACCTCCATATCCTACAATGAGCAAAGCCCATAACAGAGAACCTACGAATCCAAGGAAGAGCAGCAACTCAACTGAAAAAGGGAAAAATTGAAGGCCACAACTGCTTAAAAAACATAACTGAAAATTTGATGGGAAATGCCCAAATCAAAGGCTAGAGACACAAAAGCATGAAAATAACAATAAAAGGGGTGTTTGGGTTGCCGCCTGTCACCAAAAGGGAGCCAACGACAGCCCCTTAAAGGCATAGCAATACAGAGAGAAATTTAAAATTAAAATTAGAGAGAGTTTGTTGAAAAAAATAGCTTTCATTATACGTATTTGTGTGTATCTAAATATGACATTTTCATCAAGGTTGGTTGTTTACATAAATATTGTAAGAAGAAAATTATATGAAATATCGCAGTTTAAAAAAAAATTCCAATCTACAGAAGTAAAAGACTAATTCATGAATGAATTAAGGAAGACAAAATGTTGAATTATGGTGCACACGTTAACAGGTATTTACTTTACTACAAAAGCGAATTGGTGTGATAATAACTCAACTAGGGAGCGCGCCCCAATTTGCGTTTCAACGTTCCCAAACACGCTACGAGATTTTTCTAACGAGCAAACAAACGGGAAAATGGTTTTAACTGACAAATTTGAGAAAAATGAGCATTTTAGTGTGCCTATATTTAGGAGGTCATTTTGCTAATGAATTGTCACATCTTCTTCCGCCATTCTTTACTTTCATCTACTACAAATATCATCCAACACCGTGAACAAAGTTCATGCATTTTGATTGCTCAACCATTTGAGAGATTATGGCTAATACGAGGTATATGTATATCAACCTTCGTTTCTGCTTGAGTTAATATTTTATTAGTAGATTGAGATTGTGTGTGCAAATTAGTTAGATAGTTATTTTATTTTTTCTATGTTTATTTTTTTTGTCTTGTGCATAGAGCCTTCAAACTTGTTGTTTGGTGGAGAATTCAATGAGCTAATCAACACTAATTGATGACAATAAGGGGTATAAAAGACATTAACTGCCTTTACATTTAGGCTGTCGGAATTGCAAAGAAATAGTAAATTTTATCACTGTGGTATCCCTAGGGATGGCAATGGGGCGGGTTTGGGGCGGATTTGCCTAAACCATCCCCATACCCGCTATCAAATATCCATACCCATACCCGCCTCATACCCATGCGGGGAAAGGTTTTGCAAACCCATCCCCATACCCGTGGGTTTCGGGTACCCATGGGTAATACCCGCCCCGTACATCCGACATTATAATACCTAAAATTTTAAGTGTACGTTCTCAATTATAACTTTAAACGCACCTACTATGGTGAAGTTGACAAAAAGACTATCATTCTTTATATGATTCAAAGTATCTTATCCTAAACAATCCATTAATCCATAAGATAGAGTACAATATAATGTAATACAAATCATTCTTCTCTGACTCTGATACATCTACTAACTAATAACAAACTAACATAATCTAGTAAACACGAGGGGAAAAGTGAAAGAGTGAAGGGAGAGTTGACGAAAAGGAATTATGTTTTGATTTGGGTGGTCACTCAATTTCATTTCTAATATTTATTTTCTTAAGGTACCCTCACTATCATTCATATATCACAATTTTATTCATATATTTGTTATATGTGAAGAAATGTTCTTAGTGGGGCGGGTATGGGTATGAGTATGGGGCGGGGGAGGCTAAAACCATACCCGCCCCATACCCATCAAACGTTTTGCGGGTTTTACCCATACCCGCCCCATACCCAGTCAATGCGGGGATTCCCCGCGTTGACTGGGTCGGAGGCGGTCGGATACCCGCGGCCATAGATTTGATTGCCATCCCTAGGTATCCCTGCTATGGATGATGTCAGAGTTGATATGACAAAAGATTTCATGGCACGAAATTCAAATCGTGAGTTTTGCTTAGATAGGTGTTGAGTTCGCTAGTCATCTAGAAGAGAAGGGAGATACATTGAGTATGCGCTCGAGTAGTGCCCTTAGTGAGCCAAATGATCATATGGATGAGGGCAATGAGTACAATTGCTGATGGCAATTTGAACCCGCCTTGCGGGCATTACCCGACCCACAGTAGCATGGGACGGGGCATGTGTATATACTTCCGACCCTCCATGCCACGGCCTGGTCCATTCTTGGCCCAATCTACCTCAAATTTCTATAGTATTTATTCATATTTCTCCTAATTTGACTTTTCTTCAACTAGTTAGAGTCAATCTTTCAACTAGTAAGACTCAATTACCCATTCTATTACCACTATTGTCATTTATAAAGTGTTTCCCCTTCATTTTATCGTAAAAAGTAAAATTTTCCGTATATTTTTTTAAATAACATGCAAGAGTGGGTCGACCCAACCCGTACCTGCCCGGGTATTACCCGCCCCCCGACCCGTAGTAGCGTGGGGCGGAGCATGGGTATTGGGGTACCCGCCCCGCCCCGTCCCATTGCCATCACTAAGGACAAGGATAATGGCAATGATGTCGATGGAGATGAGCACCAAATTGTGATTGAAGGAGCGGCTGCTACATAAAATATAGAGACATATGTTCCTGCAAAACATTATTTTGTGCTTCCGGAAGGCTATGACAACAACTTGAGAATTGACTATTATGGAGATATGAATGATAAACTAGGAAGCCGTCCAGGACAAGAGTTCTACATTGGTCAGATAATTTGTTCAAAATAAGTTGTACAAAGGGCCATAAAAATTTACGCGATGGAAAGTTACTTCCAAATTAGATTGGTAGAGTCAACACCAACGTTGGAAGGTGAAATGCAACAACTACAAGGAGAACATCTACGCATGGATGGTTCGGGTTGCCTCAAAAGATTCTAGTGGGGATTTCACAGAGCCACACAGAGCAAACCCAGAGTACAATGATGCTAACTTTTGATAAACAGACCTATGTTGTTTCCCCCACCCAAAGCAGCTAGGCTAGAGTTGCTATTGTTGCTACTGGCTTCTGGAATTTACCTGTCATTGTCGAGGTGAGAACACCAACGCACGCCACGGCCCATAAAACCAACCCGGCCCGCCCCGGCCAAAAAACAACCTGGGCCTGCCCCGGCCCAAAAACGAACCCGAACACGGCCCGGACCAAAAAACGAACCCGGCCACACCGCGGCCCAAAAAACCAATCCCGGCCACGGCCCGGCCCAAACAATAAATGCAAAGTAGAGTGACTAACCGGCCTACAAATAAAAAACCAACAGTCGAATAAAAATAGAAACCTAGACACGAAACAAAACTAAAAAATATAAGCCCAGCCCCCAACCCGGCCCAAAATGAATACTTATCTAAACTAAATCTATGGAGGAATTTAAAGCAATAATATTTATAGAATTATTCAAACATTATCAACAAAAACCATTATCATTCAAACTCCATTTTTACCCTTTCCTTCTCAAACGAACTCATGGGAATCAATCCAAAACCGGCACAAAAAATAAGAAACAAGAAGCGTCCCGCAATTCACAACCCTAACCCAGT